GTGTGTGTCTTTCTCACTGAGGTATGTTTCCTGTACGCAGCAAAATTCTGGGTCCTGTTTATGTATCCAGTCTGATAGTCTAAGTCTTTATATTGGAGAATTGAGTCCATTGATGTTAAGAAATATTAAGGAAAAATGGTTGTTGTTTCCTATTATTGTTTTTGTTATTAGAGGTGGAATTATGTTTGTGTAGCTATCTTCTTTGGGGGGTGTTGGAAGATTACTTCCTTGCTTTTTCTAGGTTGTAGTTTTATTTCTTGTTTTTGGTGTTTTCCATCAATTATCCTTTGAAGTGATAGGTTTGTGGGAAGTTATTGTGCAAATTTGGTTTTGTCGTGGAATATCTTGGTTTATCCATCTATAGTGATTGAGAGTTTTGCTGGATATTGTAGTCTGGGTTGACATTTCTGTTCTCTTAGGGACTGTATAATATCTGACAAAGATCATCTGGCTTTTATGGTCTCAGGTGAGAATTCTGGTGTAATTCTTATAGGTCTGCCTTTATATGTTACTTGACCTGTTTCCCTTTCTGCTTTTAGTATTTGTATGTGTGTTTGTGTGTGTGTGTGTGTGTGTGTGTGTGAATTTGATGTTTTGATTATTATATGACCAGTAGTAATCCTTTTCTGTTCTAGTCTGTTTGGAGTTCTCTAAGCTTCTTGTATGTTTATGGGCATCTCATTCTTTAGGTTAGTGAATTTTTCTCTATAATTTTGTTGAAGATATTTACAGGCTCTTTAAGTTGGGAATCTTCACTCTCATCTATACCTATTATCCTTAGGTTTAGTCTTCTCATTGTGTCCTGGATTTCCTGGATGTTTTGGGTTAGGAGCTTTTTGCATTTTGCATTTTCTTTGACAGTTGTGTCTATGTTTTCCATGTTATCTTCTGCACATAAGATTCCCTCTTCTATCTCTTGTATGCTGTTGGTGATGCTTGTGTCTATGACTCCTGATCTCTTTCCTAGGTTTTCTATCCAGGATAGTCTCCCTTTGAGAGTTCTTTATTGTTTCTATTTCCATTTTTAGATCCTGGATGGTTTTGTTCATTTTCTTCATCTGTTTGGTTGCATTTTCTTGCAATTCTTTAAGGGATTTTTGTGTTTTCTCTTTAAGGACTTCTACCTGTTTACATGTGCTCTCCTGTACTTCTTTAAGCGACTTACATATGTCCTTATGAAAATCCTTTTTCATCATCATGAGGAGTGATATTAATTCTGAATCATGCTTTTCATGTGTGATAGTGTATCCAGGGCTTGCTATGGTGGGAGACCTGGGATCTGAGGATGCCAGGTAACTTTGGTTTCTGTTGCTTGTCTTCTTGCACCTGCCTTTCGCTGTCTGGTTAACTCTAGAGTTACCTGCGCTCTCTGTGTCTGACTGGAGTCTGTCAATCCCATTATCTTGCTTGTGTCAGAACTCCTCAGAGTCCATATGTCTCTGTGTTCTTGTGATCCTATGCTCCTAGGTGGAAGAACTCCTGGAACTCGGGCCGCCTCTGGGATCCTGAAATCCTGCTGCTCTGAGTGCAGTGGTTCCTCTAGGATGGTTCAGGATATGGTGTCTTCACAGGAGCAGACCAGTCAGGTGTTCACAGTTCAGAGTGGAGTGACTCCTCTAGAATGGCTCAGGGTACATTGTCTACTGCTCTACCTGAAGCAGCTCCTCTATGATGGCTCAGGCTAAGTTGTCTCCACAGGAGCAGACCAGATAGATATCTGCCCCAGCCAAAAGGACCAGGCATGGGGAATAAGGAAAGTAGTATTTCGGAGGGGTGAGGTTTGGGTGTCTGATGGTTCTTGAGCACCCCTGCTCCCACTTGTAGCTCTGGGGCTTAGAGTAGTGGGCAAGGTTTCTTCCCTATTGCTCTCAGTGCAGTGGCTACTCTAGGATGGCTCAGCATAAGGTGTCTCCACAGAATCAGACCAGCTATGTGTCTGCCACAGTTAAAAGGCTGCCTGTTTAATCTTATTCAACAGCTGGAGAGATCAGATGTCAGCACTATATGGGTGGAGAGGTTCTTTGCTTTAAGGAGGTCAAATAATGGTGTTAGATCTTCTGTGACAATGGAGATCCAAGACCTAATCCAAGTAATTTCTTCCGAAAGCTTTTGTAACTGTGGGAAGGTACAGGAATCCTGACTTTGAAGTTGAAGCTTAACAGGGTACACAGTATCTAAGGACAACATGGAGCCCAGGATCTTAAATGGCAGCACCTTTTGAACCATTTCAGGACGAATCCCAAAATTATTACATTTAAGATTGGAGAGATTATCAGTAAGGCCCTGTAGGCCCAAAACGCTAGGAGCACACAAAATAATATCACTCATGTAAATCTAAAATAAAATATTGGAATATTCTAAAGAGAAAATTAGGCCCACAAAAATTAACAAAAGTAATAGAAAAGGCAAACTTCTCACTATCTTTCCCTATATAAAAGACCATCCACATTTCTTAGTATCTAACAGATCATAAATCTTGTTTTTTGTGATCAGTAGCCATAAAGGCCTTTGTCTTTCCAAGAATGACTTGGCCCAAAAGGTTAGTAATAAGGCCAGCAACCACAATGGAGCACACCTCACAGTGAGGGCCATGATGGTCCCCCAAGGAAAGCCAGGAGGTCGTTTCCCATGAGGTTGATTCTCCCACATGCCCAGTAAAAGGCCAACCAAGGACAAGCTTCCAAGAGTGGGGGACTTCTTCCTTTGAGGAACCAGAAAGTCTTCCCACCTATGGCAAGAGTCATCTTAGGGCAGAGTCCTGGAAAAGAGGCACAGACCAGTTATCACTAACTGGAGGCTTCACCTTATTTAATGGAGCTGGTGTTAGCACCCCACACCCCATGGAGTATAAAGTCAAACCATTGAGAACAAAGTTACATTAACAGCTCCTGGCCCAAAGAATAATCCTAGGGTAAGGGATACTTGGTGAACAGTTTGTAGGATGTGAGACAGCTTTTATCAAATTAGGGCACTCTTTTTTAAAATGGCCATTTTTACCATATACAAAACAGGTCCATTCCCTGCTGACTAACGTCTGTTGTAGGGCATTAAGAGGAACATTCATATCTTCCTTTTGGGCCTCCTTTAGAACAGCAGCCAGGGCACTAGTTTGAAAGGAGGAGGAGCCTACATCTCTGCTGGCCATGGTCCACCTGTAAATAAGCCTAGTTGCATAACCATACACAGGCAAGTTTGTGATCACCATTCATCCCATCCAGATCAGAGAGCAAACAAAGTGGTATAGGAGGAAGGTCGCCAACAAGGAATTTCCTTTGCATGCTCTTTTGAAATCTGTCAATGAAGAAGGTAAGGTTCTCAGTAGGGTTTTGATTAATCCCTGCTATTGGGGACCCAGTGGGCCCTTCTTCAAGTTTCCTCCAGGCAGCAAAGTTAATGGCTCTGAACTGATCCTGGTAGGGGTTCAGAATAGCGGCAAGTTGGGCATCTGTGGAATATTGGTCAAAATCAACAAAGAGCATCCCAGTGGTGATTTGTATGACTAATTGGGCATTCTGGTCCTTTCCACCAGTGTGGCATTCCTCATTAAAATATGCCTGAAACTTAAGAAACATAGGCCCAGGGAGGACTGCCTTAACCAACTCTTTCAGATCTCAAGGAACACATGCCTGGCAGGCCAGGACCTCAAGAATAGTCTTGGCACAGAAGGAGTTTGGCCCATCCTCATTCACCAACTTCTTCAATTCTTTAAGATCTATGAGTTCCCAAGGGTACCAGGCATCCGGCTGATTACTGCCAAGGTTGACATTCACTAGGTGAAGGCTGGTGGTATACTGGGAGCCAAGCCCTTCCCTATTGTAAGGCTCAGAGGTCCCTTCAGAGGTCTAAGAAAGGTTGTTTAGGGGGTCGTGGGAGGCCAATTTTATTGCCTGCTTGGAGGCCAACCAAGGGCCATTCCCAAAGTGGTCCAAAGAGGGGTAAAGAGGTCCCTTGGGTGATGACGCACAAGGACTCATAGTGGTTCCACTATTGTTTCAGGTGCCTCTTCAGCAGAAGGAGGCTCCTTGGCCTCTTTCCTTGTTTTCAACCAGTGTGAAAAGTAACTCTTCAGAGCTAAGATGGTAGGCAGTGACCCCAGGTTAAGGTAGACTGGGTAGAGGTGAGTGGTTTCTCTTGAGTTAGGACCTCCTATGGAATAAGGCAGAATAACTGAGGGCACAGAAGGAGGAGGGGCATGGAATGGATTACTTGGAGGAACGGGAGAAGGATACTAGAGTTAGGTGTAGACTCTCCCATATCTTATGGGAGTACACTCACCTGCAGAGAGATTGGCCCATCAGTATTCTTGCATTAAGACACAGGAGAAAAGTTCCTCACATGGGGCACCAGTCTGTCAGCTACTTACCAGCAGGTCCAGGTGAAAGGAGAACATTCCCAATACCACCACCTCTCTCTGGGGCTGAGCAAAATAGTGAGTGTCAATGTCCCAAAAGAAACACAGGCCCAGGAGTCTTGTTGAAACAGGAGCTCAACTTTATTGCTTGGGCCTCTCACATATATAAACTCCAACCTTACAGAGGTGGATTTTGGTGGAGCGAGATGTCATATGATACAGGGAAGGTTAACAGAGAGTATGGGGTAAATGACAAGGACAATAGCCAAGCTCTACATTAGCAATGGAGGGGCAGAGGCAGGGCCAAACAGGTCTTGCTGAGTCGCCTGGATACAGAAGTGAGTGAAATAGGTCTCAAAACTCTAGTCAGGCTTCGGGTCTCCCAAAAGTCCACAGACATTCGAGCCAGCCTCCTGTTTGTCCACAAGGCTGGAACCAGGGCCTGAATGGGAAACAAAACTCTGCAGTTATATCATCAAACTTACCTTGACCATGATTTACCAATTACTATGTATGCCGTATTTACCTGTTCCTTTTAGTCCTGCTGCTCCTATGACTCAACACTCTCAGAAGACATGCCATTAAAGGAAAGTGCTGCCTGCAATCAGACACAGTGAGGACTAGAATAGCAAGGAATTCTCAATAGGACATGATGACTATGAGTGAGGCTCTAGTCCACAAAAGGAACATATTGCAGAAGTTCTGCCTGTGGAAGATGTTCTTCTTCTCTTCATGGCCACCAACTGGACATGCTAGGTACAGTAGCCTTCCAGAAGTAGTGATACCCTTGAGGGTCAATGTCACTGACAGAAATAATATTTCCCGAGGTTGGCTGTCTTATAGCCTGCACGTTGGGGGACAGAGACACATAATCATTATGAAACCAAAGAAAAATTTGATATCCAGAAACTTCTTATTACTCACTTATACTGACCAAGGATATCCAATTGAAGAACAGCCTTTTGTGCAGAATGACTGCTACTACCATGGCTATGTGGATGAAGACCCAGAATCCCTGGTCATTGTTCACACCTGTTTTGGGAGGTTGCAAGGCATTCTAGACATAAATGGTACAATTTATAAAATCATGCCCAGGAGCTCAAATTCAACATTTGAACATCTGGCTTACAAAATGGACAGTGAGGAGTCAGAATTAATTCCCATTAGATGCGGGTTAACCGAAGAGGAAATAGCAAGGCAAATGAAGTTTCAAGAAAGAGTTGCCCCAACATTTTGGAAAATACCACTGGAGAATTGGTGGACTCACCACAGGTTTATTGATTATTATGTTGTAATAGACCATAAACGATACGTTTATAGAAAGAACAATACCACAACTTGTCTTCAAGATATGTTGGAAATACTCCATGGACTAAATGGTTATTATCTTCAACTAAGTATTGATGTGATTTTAACCAAAATTCAAGTGTGGAGCCAAAGAAATCTTATCAATATAGAACGAAGTATGCATAAAGTCCTACGTGAATTTTTCTATTGGAAGGTAGACTCGATTGGCAAACAAATTAAATATGACGTCATACACCTTTTTGTTAGACATCATTATGAATTTTTAGGGTTAGCTTTTGTAAGTACAGTTTGTGAGGTTGGTAATTGTGCAATTAACAGTTTTATATCTGATGACATGTTATACATCGCGGACATTGTAGCACATGAGATGGGTCATAATTTGGGTTTTCGGCATGATGAAGAGGAATGTTATTGTGGGATGGAAAAAAAATGTATAATGTACCCAAGAGTACCACATCACCCCAAATTCAGTAACTGTAGTTTTGAATATCTGTATTAAACTCTTTATCGAAGAATTTGCTTATATGATACACCAGAAACACCAGAAACACTAGTAACAACAAATCTGACCGAATGTGGGAATTACTTGGTTGAGGAAGGAGAACAGTGTGATTGTGAGAGCTCTGAATCCTGTTCAGAAGATCCATGCTGTAGCCAGAACTGTGT